GGATCCCCACGGCCATTAATCTTGGTTTCCTAGAGAGGAGCCGCTGCTTTTCCATTCAGGCAGCTTCTCAATTATCCTCACGAGGCTGAATGGACCCCATTCCAGACCCACTAATTCTCAGAAAATCTGGTAGCGTCGGGAATCGAACCCGGACCTCTCGATCTGTAGCCAGGAACTGTGACCACTAGACCACAGAGGCGGAAGATGACCACAAACGATAAGTAAATATGGATTTGGAAGGAGGTGGTGGGAATATATTTGAAGACAAACTTAATATCATAGTCGTAACCTGGAGAGACTGAGGGAAGCCACAGAAACCGAATAGCCGGTAATCCAGCTGAGATTTGAATAGAATACGGCCTACACACAATTTGCAATGTGATTTTTCATACTTCCTTGGTCTTGGTGAACGTTTATTGTTATAAAGCTAAACTCAATACAGATATCACGCAACAGTAATAAATTATTTTTCTTGCATTTCATTAAACTTACACGATACGGAAGATCGGTTGCAGACACAAGCTTTGATTCAGTCGAGTAGACCTTCACACTCTCTGGTTCCATTGTGCTCTTTGTCGAAAGCACATAAAGTGGGCGCATAATTTACAATCGTGTGTATTGTATTTGGTCGCCTGCGTGTTTAATTTTCCACGTCATTTAACGGATTTCAGTGAAATATGATACGGTACTGTGTCAAGCGAATTTAATTTTGGTAGGCATCAGTCCTCTGTAACTTTTATATTACTTTATATGAAACTCAAATCTTGAAAATATGGCATGTTGCATTTCTTCTATATTTAGGTTATGTTTACTTTTAATTGGACCGCCTCTGTGGTCAGTGGTCAGAGTTCCTGGCTACAGATCAGATTTTCTGATAAGTAGTGGGTCTGGAACGGGGTCCACCCAGCTTCGTGAGGATAACTGAGGAGATATTTCAAGAAAATGGCGGCTCCGGTCTAGAAAACCGAGATTAACGGCCGTGGGGATCCGTTGCGCTGACCACGCGACGCTCTCTATCTGCAAAAGTTTGTACTAACTTCGCTGACAAGCGGCGGTCGCTTGGTCGTATAGTTCGCTTGCGGACTACAGGCCACGGGTTCTTTTTTACTTTTAATTTAAACTTTATTTTAACCTAGTATCAATTAATTAGTGAGATGTCTTCCTGTAAATGAATAGGTACACAACGCAACAGAATAATGTAAGATATACACCTTTTTATTAGAAACGATCTTTGATGTATTGTTTGTGTTTAACCACATTCAAGAAAAACTGATTTCGTAGCATGAAGTATGGTATTATGTTTAAATGTACCTTCCCATTATTGTTTTAAGAAAGAGAACTGTTCTGGCAGGCAGTCCCTTCCACTGCCACAGTTCCAAAATCTCTTTGAAACTCAGATGTTACGTCATAATAATTCATCACTTGAAGTGTGAGGGGTTTTCTGCGCAGATGTCTGAGTTCCAAGTAATTGTTGACCATTTCCTGATACCAGGTGTTACGGACAGCTCATTGCCATGGTCGAACGGTTTGATGGAAGGATACCACAGGATATGAAAACTAAATTATTAAATGTGTCCAGTTGTATTATTCTACAAGTCAGGCATGTCGTAACATCACGGGAACAAAAAGGGGATGCCAGATATCTTAGAGGCGCTTTGGCATGTTGACTTAGAACTGATTATGGGAGGGGGGAAAAATCTTCGTGCCCGTTTCGTTACTAAACTGAAAATATTTCGCGTCATGTTGGCCTACTTATACATAATTTTATGCAATGAAATATTTAATAAAAAAACGTTTAGGCAGATTTATAATACTCTGCCCTACCAAAACTTCACGTATTTGTGCACAATGGATCATCACTAATTATAGGCCTGTTACTGAAAAATGTATTGTAGCCAACTTATTTTCCATTTTGTTTCATCTTTGATACCCATTAAATACGAAGTCAGGTGGACCCCACAGCCATTCTAGGCATGTTAATGACGAGGCGATTTTCAAAGCCCTTACAGGGTACATAACACCTCGAAGTCGGCTCGAGTTCTTAATTCCGAACAGTACTTTATCCCATTTGTTACGGCGCGTGTAGCACATTACCCAAGTGCTTATTTTTAAGCGGCTGTTTACGAAAATCTGACGCCCTCTTTCGTCACAACAAAGAATATATTTTCTTACACGTCGGCTTTGATGCTTGCCGATCCAGGTGCTGAAATTTCTTTCTTCACTTCAGCATCCGTGTTTGTCGCCAAGACTTTAAAGTATTTTGTGTAATTCTTCCGTGAGTTGACGTTTATTTTTGTGGGGAATGCGACTTTTTTTTTTGTTAATTTAAGTGCACTTTTCCAGCTGCATAATTATTTTATGCTCCTTTTCCTGTTCTTATTGTTGCTGCTGCTGAAGAAATAAATGCGATTAGGGACATTTATTACTTGTGGTTTCAGTTTGTTCAAGTTACGTTACGTTGATTGGGTGTGTAGTTCTGAAAAATGAGCTGAAAAGGTCTTAGAAGGAATTGGCCATTACCCGTTTTAAAGTACTTGGATGTCCTGCATTTTGTGAGAGTGACAAAAAAGCGAGTTTCCGGCCGCTATGCTTGTAATTTAATCTGGGATTGAGGAATGCAGATTTTATAATAACTGAACTGGGAAATTTTCACACCTGATGAAGTCAACATACTAAGATTTCATCAAACCACATGAATACTGCGTATTTTTTTTGCATCTATGTATTATATATATCAAATTCCGTGGCCTGTAGTCCGCAGGCGAACTATACCGTCCGAGCGACCGCCTGTTGTCGGCGAAGTTTGTGCCAACTTTAGCGGATAGAGGGGTGTCACGTGGTCAGCACAAAGAATCCCCTCGGCCGTTAATTTCGGTTTTCTAGACCGGAGCCGCAATTTCCTTCAAATAGCNTTATCCTGACGAGGCTGAGTGGATCCCGTTCCAGACCCACTACTTCTCAGAAAATATTATATTGACGGGAATCGAACCCGGGACCTCTGGATATGTAGCCAGGAACTCTGACCACTAGACCACAGAGGCGGCCGATATCATTTAATTAGTCATAAGATTAAAATAATATTAAGGCAAAGATCACTTTTTGATATTTCATTTTTTTTATATTCTTAATGGCATTTTAATTATGTACTCTTAATTGCCTCCGTATTCATATGGGAAACATAGATCGAATATTTTCGGTTTGTGCATCTGTAAAAATATATGGTCCATAAAGCTTACCCAAATTGATGATACCGACCCCCAACAAAAGTAGTTTCTCACCCCTGGTATAGTCTTATAATTTCAGTATTGCCTATTAACAGCTACGGAACCAGTTGATTGAACATGTTTCAAGGTTTAATTTAAATCGAATTCCATTTAAAAATCAACAGGAGAGAAAGGTGGGAAGATACAAGAAACGGCGGAAAGGCCGGTCATAAAACCTGTAAATGGATCAGGCAGACGAGACTGATTATAAACAGTTCATCGTAACCGAATAACTTCGGAGATATTCCTTAGTGAAATAACTAGAAAGCTCTATTTCGTGGACAGGAAAGGAATTGCGGGCATTACACAAGAACAGTATATATATATATATGTGTGTGTGTGTGTGTGTGCGTGCGCGCGCCCGCGCGCGCGCTTACATATGAGTTCAGTTGCGCCTCCGCGTATGTCGTCTACGAAATACCGACATCCATGCCTTGAGTGGGATTCGAACCCTCGATCCCAGCGTTTAAGCGAGAGAAGTCAGTTCCTGCCTTAGACCGGGGGGCCACTGTAATCGGCTCTTGGATGTAGATGCGAATGTAATATAAACTGGACCTTGGAGATGGGATGTCAGCTGGATTGAACTGGCTCAGGATGTTATTTAATGATAATTACATTATCATAATTGTGACGAATATTCGAGTTCCTGAATAACAGGAAATTTGTTAAACAGTTGAACGACGAAATCCTTTAGGAACACCTGCACAAAGACATTAGTTGGGTATTTATGATTTGGACCCGCAACTGGAAGGGCACTGAAATGAATAATGACGAAATTATGTTATGAAGATGGCCGCGCCATAGCTCAAGCGGTTAGTCGCTGGCTTCCCATCGCGCCGGCCCGGGTTCGAGCCCGGGTCTGGTCAAGTGGGATTTGTGGTGGACAAAGTGGCGCTGGGGTAGGTTTTCTCCAAGCACTTCGGTTTCCCCTGCCAATCTTCATTCCACCAGTTGCTCCACAATCACCCTCACCTATCATCTGGGGCTGGTAAAATAGGCCAGAAGTGGCCGCAGTACAAGGGACTTAGTCCCATCCCACTAGCAATACGTAAGAAAAAAAAAATGTTACAAAGATCAGTGAGCCCGAATTCCTTTTAGCCAAAAGTCATACTTGTTATGACTATTTGAATCACTTGGGGTGATCTGTTTACAGAATGTGGAATGGACAATGGATGATAGCAGTCGCCGCTGTGCTGCTGCCATTGGCATCAGTAAGTGAGGGTGATAACTATTCAGACCTTCCAGGTCCATACTGTGCAACTAGACGGGGTGGCTGCTGTTATGGACGAGTTGATGAATGTTCAGTCCCTGTCCTGGGTACGCTGTGTTACTGCGATGACTTCTGTAATGAGACACGCTCTATAGATTGTTGCCCAGACTTCATGAGCTTCTGTTTGGGCTTGCAGCCTCCTTTGGAAATAGGAAGTAAGTACTTTCATTTACTGATATTCTGCACGCCCCAGTGGCCATAGTATAAAATACTGTGTGATTTTAGCCAGGGTAACCCTGGGAACATGGGTTTCCCTCCCACTTAGAGCATGGATGTTTCTCTGTATCCTACTGTGTCTTTGAGCAATGGCAGAGGCTTATAATGGTCTGAACCTTTAACCATGGAACCCTTCCAAACAAACTTAAACTCACTCACTCTCTCTCATTCACTCACTGTGTGGTAACATAACCCATACTTCAACACTGTCAACACCATACTTCACCATTAGACCTGAATCTACATTTCCAACCTTTCAACATATATCCCTGGGATTCATCTTAATGATGTCTTTCTGTGTCCTTCTTGGTTTCAAAGTCTCCATTTTGCAAGAGGTTTCCCCACCACAATTCAGTATTCATTTCCTGCCTCCTACCATCTTGTTTATGTGTCTGGTCCATCTTAGTCCTCCAAATTCTACTGTCCTAACAGTACTGTTACTTGGTGGTCAGAGTTCATGCCTACAGATCCAGAGGTTCTGGGTTCGATTCCCGGCGCTACAAGATTTTCTGAGAAGTAGTGGGTCTGGAACTAGGTCCACTCAGCCTCATGAGGATAATCGAGGAGCTTTTCAGTGAAATGGTGGCTCTGGTCTAGAAAACCGAGATTAACGGCCATGGGGATCTGTTGCGCTGACAACGTGACATCCTCTTTCTGCAAAAGTTGGCACCAATTTCACTGACAAGCGGCGGTCCCTCGGTCGGTATAGTTCGCTGGCTTTATTCAGCTATGTGCATGTCAGCAGTCAGTATGTACTGGAAAACTTGCCAGTGATATAAGTTACATATCTGCTGGTATATTTTATATTTCAGCTTTGATGTTAAAACTCTGCATGCAGTGCCAGTAAAATGTTTGTGTCAAAAAGTGCTGATGTTATTACTTGTTTTAGTAATGATTTAGAAAACCTCTATCATGTCCTTAATTAGGCTATGGTGGCAAAAAATGGAAAAGAGAAGTGAAGCTTATAAATTATTGGACCGAAAGAGAGGAATCTTGTACTGAAAATATCATTATCATTGAAGACTTTTTATTTATTTATTATTTTTATTTTTTGCAATTCTGTCCCTCTTTACCTAAATCAAAAACAGTGAACTCAATATCAGTGAATACTTCTCACTGTTTCGAGCACATCCATCACTTTCCCTTGTTGATTAGCAATGCTACACCACTTTGTGCTCTTAATTTTATTTTGTGAGAACTGCATTTTTACCATAAATATTTTGTCATTTGTCCAGGTTGTTACCACAATGGCCTGTATTACCAATTTGGTGAAACTGTGAAGATTAACTGCAACCTATGGTGAGTAACAGTAAGCAGCCTCATACTTCGGTATAATGAGTAGAGTGCAGGGGATACCCATACTTTATTTTTAAAATACATTAAGTTTCAAAATGGGTTCCTTACAGTTGTTTATAACTCATTGCTCCTCATATTCATGTATGCATTTCAAACACTGATGTAACACTGGCACACAATCTGCACAGATGACATTTGCATGGGGGCATAAATTTGCTTTGCCTTGTGTTTTAGGTAAATACTAGCAAGAAGTGCCTTTTCCCCTTCCAGTGTTTAAATGAAGCATATCCTTAGTAGTGACACTGTATATACGATGTGTGAAGTTCATGCTACAAATTCTTAAAAACTGATGTATCATTAACGGGTTTATTTCCATAGGCAAGTGTTATTCTTTCAGATTTGCAGGTTCTATATTATTCGTATCTTCATTCTATACACCTGATTTTTCAATATTATGAGGCCAAGCATTCTACATACAGTAGTTGCTGTGAATGCTGTGTTAATAATTTATTACAATTTACAAAAATGCACTCCAGAAGTACAGATGTGGCAGAGTTCTCATGTCATTCACACATGTACATATTTCTAAGTTTTATTGGTCAGTGTTATCCAGTTTTATGATATATTTATTAATATTTTTTTGTTCTGATAATTAAAATGACAACAATGAAGTTGGTAAAATATGAATATTGAGGATTGACCGTTTAGGATGTGATGTCATACTGCTTGGTACAAGCTAGAGTTTCTGAGGGACCAGCACCCTCCTCCTGAGAGGTGGTGGAGTCAGCAGGTTCCATGAAAACGTTGGTACCTATCTATCAAGCATAATAGCTCCACTGACAGAACATCAAGTCTCTCATAATTTAAACAGCTGCTTGAAACATTTTTAACTGAATCATATTAGTTGTATTTCCAAAGCTGTAGGCATGGGTGATGGGGACATCTCGTATCGTTTTTTAAATGGATTCACATGTAGCTCTATTTCCAGTGTATAAATATTCTTCCCAATAATTTGTTAGTCAGAATGCTTTTTATCAGAATCAACTAAGAAAATAATCAAGAAAATACTCAGCATCATAAATATTTTTCAGTTGTAATGGAAGAATATCATTGTGTCTACTCGCAGTAAGGTGTGTGAGAATTCATATTTGCATGGACAGAAATGTAGTAAATGAAGTAGTGTGACTAATGATATAGTAGTTGGAAAACGTTAAGGGAAGGGAAGAGATGAGAAATACACCTGCAGATGGAATGTGATGTGAATGCTGAAGAAAAGAATGGTGGGCTCATCTCTCTTCCACCATATGTTTTTTTACAATGTGGCATATAATTTAAGAATTGTGGGGCTGTATCTCCACTCCACCATACGTCTTCATGATGTGGCTTATAATTAATTAACCCTACCTTATGTGTAGATATATGCAAACTGAATTGCTTAAGATAGAGTCCATTGGTGAACTCTTGTGAAAACAGTGATGAACTTGGATATTTCAAAATAAACAGTTTCTTGTCTATGTGAAGAATTACTAACAGTTCAAGGGAAACTGGAATACAACGTGATTGTCTTCTGTAGCAAATGCCAGCAAGCAGGCAACAAGGTGGAGCTGCTGTGTGAACAGAATGAATGCCTTGTGGAGCCAGAGATCATATTAAGGATCAACTCAGGTGGACACCATTTCAACTGGCGAGCAAGTAACTACTCCATATTCTGGGGGCGACGACTGGATGAAGGCATCTCGCTCAGGCTGGGAACGCTGCAGCCTCAGAAAGTGGTATGATTCCTTTGGACTTAAGTTTATTCAGACCAATTTGGTCTTATATGAGTATCAAGTGTAAATGTATAATGTGGTTTTCCTCAGTCCTAGGCAAATAGCAGGTGATTAGTACATGATGTCCTATGAAGTCCTTTCCAGTTCATCAGTGATCTGGTCTCTGACGCTATAGATTTGCTATTGAAAGTGTCACGAAATGAAGAGATCTGTCTCCTGGTATATAACCCCGCATAGTCCATTGAAAGTTAATCGACGTTTTGGAGGGACGCGCTGCTTCCATTTTCAGAGTCAAAGGATAAGCCAAGCAAGAAACCAGCGTGAAAGCTGATGGCAAACAGAGCAATTGGCTTTGCCAAAATTTTGGATTATATAGAGAACAGCAAGTCCTCACTGGCTCACATCTAGGACAGACAGACTGTCTCTATATAAATTGTACAGCCCTAGATCTCATGGCCTATTAATTATCATCATGAAAGTAAGATCATAATAATTATGAAGGACAGACTTCTTGGCATGTAGCCATGAGGCTGTGATGATGCTTAACAGGGACCCAGGAGTGTGAAATTATCAGTCTTCTGTACATCATATACTGTAGTTTAGGCATCAGAGAAGTATTCAAATTCTCACAGCTGATCTAACAGTCTTCTTTCTGATTTCTGAACATTTCTTCTGTAACCGTCCCACTGCTACGCAACTTATTTTAATGTAATCAACTTTATTAATTTGAGAGCTTAATTGTTCAAAATGAAATGCAATGAACAAGGGTAGTGAGACATAGGTCAATTCTTGTATGTAAGAGTTAGCGTCTTCCCAAGCTTACAACAAGAAACAGGAAGACAACCGTCAAAGGTTTATTAGAGGAAAGTTGCGTTGGAGAATGGCTAAAGAAATCTTGTCAATCCAATACTTGGCAGTTTGTGCATGCCATAACTTAAAAAGAGTGAGGTTTTTAGGGCCCAAGCGACGCTTAAGCATTTGTCAAATTCTGACAGAAATATGTTGGAGTCAAAAATCCTTAAACTCTAGTAAGCTTTAAATGGAGTGGAGGAATATGTAATTAAGATACTCCTATTTTTCAAATATAGCCAATCACTAAAATTTAAGGGCGTGACAGGGCAGTGACGCTTGTGAAAGCCAGGAATTGAATGTCCAAGGAAGCATCATGTTTTAGTGTCAGTTGGAAAGAGGGACTTGTTAGAATCAGACGTAAAAAAGTCACACACCTGGCTCCGAAGCAGTTAGACATAAAAGTTACTGATTCGAAGTTGTATCAAGAAGTGGCTAAACAAGTGTTCAATAATATAATTCGTCTAAACTTGATATGTGCGTTTGTGGTTTGTGTTTATTTATTCCTTCTCAGAGTTGTGGCCCTT